GGAAGCCTCCCAGCAGGTGCCTCCTAAGTGGGTGGCCGCAATATGACCACCAGCACCGGCATCCAGGATCATCCTCCCTAGTCGGAGGCAACCAGGCGGGTACCGAGGCGGGGCGGGGGGACGGCGGAGGCCTGCGCGGCCGCGTACGCCTCGCCCCAGTGCTCCTGGGCGCCGGCGGCGGGGGTCCTCCCCCCCCCTTCCTCCACGCTCCTCAACCGCCTCCTCCTCCTCCTCCTCCTCCTTCTCCTCCTCCTGCCTCCTCCTCCTCCTCCTCCTCCTGCCTTCTCTCCCTCCTCCTTCCTCCATCCTCCATCCTCCTCCATTTCCTCCTCCTGCTTGTGCTGGTTTTGGTGGCTGGCCTCCAGGAGAAGGAGGCGCGCGGGGCGCGCGCCGCGCGCCGGGGTGCCGTCGGCGGCGAGGCGGCCCCAACGGCTCCGAGGATCAAAGAAGAGCGCACGCCATAAGTCAGGAGGGAAAAAACCACACAGACACAATTAATCGGCGATTCCCAGAAAATATGGGAATACATGGGAAGTGGGGGGGAAGACAGAAACCCAGAAAATATTGGAAAATATGGGGAATATTTTTATTAGTGTGTATTTATTTGTGTGTCCTGGGGCCCTTCAATAAGCATAAACGTGCGGCGCTCCGCGCGGAATCCTTGGATCAGCGCTGGGCCCCCCTGGCGGCGCCTGCGGCGCTGCAGGTCCAGCGCATATCCAGCACTTTAATCATGACCACGCCGTTCTCTCTTTTTCCAGAGGACGAAGAGGCGGCCGAGGTAAATCTTTCTTTTGGGTCCCCCCTTGTCCACTCGGCGGTGAATAGGACTGGTCCTCAAACTTTTTCCTCGTCCACACTTGCGCAATACGAATGCTAGGTTCCTCTCTTCCCTGATGACGTCCAAAAGGTGTCCAGTCCTACTCCGCGTATTGTTCTCGCACAAGATTCCCCGGAAATGAGTTTGCGATTGGATTTTCGTTTCAAAATGTTGCTGCAGATCGGGCGCCAGCGCGGAGCCGCGAAGCCGGCGCGTAGGCGGCGACGATGTCCAGCGACGACGTGGACGCACGCGTGGCAGACATCACCCGGCAAATCTTGCATGCGAGTGGCGATTCGTTCGACCCAGCCTGGATCAGCCACAAGCGGCTGGGGCTGCCGCCGGGCGCTGACCGCATGTACTCGCGCCTGAACAAGCTGCTATTCCCTGGTCAGCTGAAACCTTTTCTGGGCAGCCACCGGGAGTTTGCGTGGCAGCTGGGCCGCAATGGCAAGGGGATGATCGTCGCCTGGACCGCGCCGGGACGAGACGACGCTGCAGTTCCGTCGCAGGCCGCTGCGGCACCAGGCTTTGCTAGTGCTGCGGCAGGGGCTGCCACTCCTGCGGAATCTGAACGGCCAGCAGGTGGAGCAGCAGGAGGTGGTGCTGCGGCGTCAGGCTCTGCCACGGGTGTGGGCGCAGGCTCTGCCACCGCTCAGGCTCGTGCGAGAGGAGCTGCGGTCGAGAGGCAGTGCGAACGAGGACTGGGGCCGAAACGAGCACTACCCAAGCGGACGGACATGGGCGGTGGGTCTCGGAGCCCAGCGAGGGGAAGTGGAGTGGATACATTACAGTGGGGGCGCGCATCAAGAAACCATGTGCTTTTTGTCAGGGTATCCTGGGTTTCTTCGCTCCTCGCGCTGCGAGGCGACTTCCGGCAGCCGTTGAAGGAGCTGCTGCCTTCGGGGTGCTCCAGGTTTCCCCTCGGGTGCACCTCGCGCACGCGTTCTCAGGGTTGGGTTTCTTGCGAGGGTTTCTTGCGGCCGCGCCCGCACTGTACCACGAATACAGGGACTGGCCTGGCAATCGCTTGGGCCAGGCTCGACCAACCCCAATCTGATCGGCAAGCGGTGCATCTGAGGCAACGCAGGGTTAGCAGTGGGCTCCTTCGCGCACATGGCGGGGGCACCAGTGCCCACGGAAAAAAAGGAACATGCGCCGTGTTATCGATTATCGCGACCTGTTCCTGCCGCAAGCCCAGCGCGGACATTCGCCTTAACAGTTTGCAGAGAGTTTCGGGGGTGGACAGAGTCCCCAACAGTGACACGTCGATTAGTGAATTGTCCTTTTTCGGTCCTCGAGAGGGCGCCGTGGCCGTTGTTGTCCAGGCTTGCGCCCGCCAGGATTGGGCCTCAGGTCGTTTTCATTAAACCACGTTTTACTAAGGGGGGTCTGTCCATCCCCGAGAGTTGCACGGCTGGAGGTCGGTGGGTTTTCGAAATGGGGCTCTCGCCTTGGCGCCGCAGACACTCGTTTGAAAATTGTAATGCACATGCACTTGTGGAGGGCGGCTGGTCTGCTGCCAAAAAGCTGAAAGGGCGGGGAACTAAATGCCATCTGCTTCCGCCTGCAAGCACGAACGTGGAGCCGGGCAAATACGTGCCACATGAAGCGCTGACCCCATGTTTGCGCCTCGGGTTGTTCCAAATCGTTTTCCCTCTGCAGCGCGGGCGTTTTCGGTCCCTCCACATCGGCTTCAAAATTTTCGAGAATGGCCCCCCGAAAAGCCATCGGACGTGATTGCACATTCGGTGCCGATTCTTTGATGTTTTGGGTCGCAGAAGCCCCCCCCCCCACTTTGGGGCGTCGTTGTTTTTAGGAAATATTAAGCGGGAGCCCCGTTTCTGCTTTGAGAAGGCGATGGTGAAACCAGAGCCAGCGGGTGCTCTCGATTAGCCCCGCCTTGTGTGGAGTTTCTCGGGGCGCCCAAAGAGCTAGACATGGAGCCATGACTCCAGACCGGCCTAGGCCTCTCGAAAACGATCCACTTACCCTCCAAGGAACCCGGCGCCATGCCATGACTTGTTGTGTGGTGTTGTGTTCTGCGCCATGCCAAACCGTGCTCTACCATGCGTCGCGCACCCTCTCGCGATCATTGCCCTGCTCGACATCCGACCATGCGAATAGCGAAGTTATCTACGCCATGGTAAAGTATGGAAGCGAGGGCTGGACGTCAGATATGACGCGAGCGCACCTAGCTTGTCGTCCCCCCCTCCCCCGCCGTCTCCTCCTCCTCCTCGTCCTCCTTCCGCTTCTCTTCGTCCTCCTCGGCGGGTGCCGCGGGACAAAAAATAAGTAGGTACCCCCAATCGGTGGGACCTGCAGTTCGTGAAGGCCGCCTGACAAGTAAGGAGATACCCCCTATTGGGGGCAGTTTCTAAAGACCTATCGCGCTCACCCATACCGCTACTCACCTTCGCCCTTTGTCCCCCGTGTTCGGACTCCTGGGAGGCCGCCACTGGATTCGCCCCAAAATCCTGTCGGAACGCGCCCCGGTAGAGTGCCGGGGAGTGGCAGTATCGGCACCTTGTGGTCTCCCCACCAGCGTTGCGGAGGGATGGGCTCGAGGGCCGCGCTGGTGCTTAGAGGCAGATGATTAGATGCTCCATGAGAGCGCTCCGAGGGGCGGAATAACGAGTAGTCGTCGTAGTAGTCGTAGTCGCAATCGTAGCCGTAGCTGTGCGTCGTTATTGCGCGGCGGGTGCCGCGGGGAAAAACACTGCTTTCCCCGACCGGTGGGACATGAATCCGTGAATCAGGCCGCCGAAGCAGTGATCAATTGCACTCTATTGGGGCGGGGAATTCCAGAGACCTTCCAAGGTTGAGCAGCGCGGAGGGAGGAGGAGGAGGAGGCCCAGGAGTTGCGGGAGGGAGAGACGAATCGGGCAGGCCACAGCTGGGGGGGGCGTGTTCCCCAGCGGCTCCCGACACCCCTCTCGAGACTACCGGCAGTACCGCCAGCACAGGAGTGGCATAACAGACAGCGAGCCCGGAGGTTCACACGCTCTTAGCGCCTCTGCTCCGAGGTGGTTTCTCCGAGGACCATTGAGGAGCATCCTTGACCATTTGGCGAAAAAACCACGCACGAAACCAAAAAACACAGGGAATGGACGTCCGAGCGATGGCGAGGTGCGCGCCGGGGGGGGGATGGTTGAGCGGGCGAGCCCTTGCAGAAGGTGGCGGGGCTTCTCAGCAGCCTACCTCGCCTTCTGAGAAGCGCTCGTCGAAAGAGAAGTCGCCATAGTCATAAACTTTGGGCGCTCCGCGCGGATTTCTTGGGCCCCCCCGGCGGCGCCTCCGGCGCCGCCCCTGGCGCGCCCAGCGCAGACCCAAGAAATCCGCGCGGAGCGCCAACATATTATGTTTGTGTCGTTTCTCTTGCTCTAGTTCTGCGTCTTCGGGGGAGGTTTCGAACACTTCTCGGAACGCTCCCGCCGCCTCCCGTGCCTGCCGAGAAGGCCCGCCCCGTCCACACACCCCTCGGGCCTCGCCGCCGAGCTGTGGGCACGGAACTGGCGGTGCCATTCCTGGGAGGCCACACTCCGCGCGCAGTGGGGCCCAAGCCGTCCTGGCTCGAGCGCCACGCCGGCCCCAGCCGGTTCTGTCGGGGACCGCCTTGCCTCCGAGACGCGAGAGCCAGATCCGCTCGAACCCTGCGCCCGCCGTCGCCTCTCCTCCCCTGGTTCGCCTCCCCTCTCCCCCCGCCCTCTGCCCGCCGGGCCAATGTCCGAGGAGAAGAGCATTCTGGGCCTCCCAGATGGGGTCGGAGCAGATGGGGTCGAAGGATCTCGACGCATCGCATCGCTGATGCTGTTCGATGCGGGGCCCGATCTGCTTCACGTCGACGTCGCCGATCCATCGCCCACGTCGACGATGCATCGCTGGTGCATCGCCGGTGCATCGCCGATGCATCGCCGATGCATCGCCGATGTATCGGCGATGTATCGGCGATGCGATCCTCCGACTCCATCTACTCGGACCCCACCTAGGAGGCCTCTAAGCATTGAGTGGAACGTCCGGAACTGGGCCGTCGCGGTGGCCAGCTCCGCCGAGGTGACGCTCTGCGTCCGTGGCCTGCGCGCGTGCTCGACGACCGCGGCGCTGATGACCCTCATGGACTCCATGGGTTTCCGCGGAGAGTACGACTTCCTGCACGTGCCGTCCGACTTTCGGTCGAAGAATGGCCTCGGGTACGCGTTCGCCAACTTTTTTGAGCGCCGCTGCGGCCGAGAGGTTCGTGCAGCTGATCGTGCTCGGCGGGCTCTCGGGATTCGCGGCGGGCTCTGCTCTTCGCGTGTTTCCCTCGAAGAAGCAGGGGCTGGCGGAGTGCCTCCTCTCCTGGTGCAGGGGCCACTCGCGCAGCGTGCGAAGCGCCAAGGTGTTCCCCTTCGTGCGGCCGCTCAACGCGACGATGCTGGTCAACCCATACCTCGAGATGCCGCCCAGCGGACCGCCCGCCATGGACGTCCCGATTCCCGCATTTGTCTCCCGCGGGCAAATCGTCGAGTTCTGATGAGAGAACCCTTACGGATCTTAGCGGTGTCTCAGTGGCAGCGTATAGCGACCGCTGTTTGGTTGACAGCTGACAGTCTAGTTTCACGCAGTATGCCATCGTGCAAGTTCTTGCGAGCCCCTTTCACAGGTCACAATAACCAGCCCTGGCCTGTCCCATTATCGGAGGTGAGGGGGTGAGATCGAAGTGGAACGGAGAGCCCCCCTACCGGGAAATCGGTTTCGGTTTCGTGTTCGTGCGTGCCGCGCGTGCGGGCGAGGCAAAGCTGCGTGGGCGGGCGAGAAGAGAGTCTCCTCCGGCTGAGGCGCGGCCAGACCAAATAATTCCTTTCCGGGGGCCGGTGGCCCGCGGTGTCCCGCCGGTGTCCCGCCTCCGGCTGAGGCGCGGCCCGACCAAATGATCCTTTCTGGGGGCCGGTGGCCCGCGGTGTCCCACCGGTGTCCCGCCGGTGTCCCGTCGGTGTCCCGATGATGATGATGATGATGATGATGATGATGATGATGATGATGCTGATGCTGATGCTGATGCTGATGCTGATGCTGATGCTGATGCTGATGATGATGATGATGATGATGATGTTGATGATGATGATGATGACGTCGATGATGTTGATGATGATGATGAGTATGATGGTGATGGTGGTGATGATGATGGTGTCCCGATGATGATGGTGGTGATGATGATGACAATGTTTTTGATGATGGTGATGATGGTGATGGTGGTGATGATGGTGTCCCGATGCTGATGGTGTTGATGATGATGATGTTGCTGATGATGATGATGGTGCCCCGACGATGGTGATGATGTTGGTGATCCTGATGATGTTGATGATGATGATGATATGATGATGTGATGATGATGAATGTGATGATGATGGTGTCCCGATGATGATGCTGATGAGGTTAATGATGCTGTTGATGATGTTGGTGATGATGATGGTGTCCCGATGATGATGTTGATGATGGTGATGACGATGATGGTGTCCCGATAATGATGAGGATGAGGATGAGGATGAGGATGAGGATGAGGATGATGCTGTTGATGAGGATGATGATGAGGTGATGCTGATGATTTTGATAATGGTGGCCCGATGATGGTGATGATGCTCATGATATTGATGATGATGGTGTCCCGATGATGATGATGATGCTGTTGATGATCATGTTGCTGATGATGATGGTGCTCCGATGATAATGATGTTGATGATGTTGTTCATGATGATGAGACGAGATGATGATGATTGTGGTGTTCCGATGATGATGATGGTGTCGCGAAGATGATGATGTTGATGATGATGATGGCGACGATGATGGTGTCCCGATGATGATGATGGTGGTGATGATGATGAGGATGTTGATGATGATGGCAATGATGTGGTGATGATGATGGTGTCCCGATGATGATGATGATGATGATGATGATGATGGTGATGATGATGATGATGATCGTGATGGTGATGGTGATGGTGATGGTGATGTTGATGATGATGGTCATGACGTGTATGATGATTATGTTGTTGCTGATGATGATGACGTTGATTGTGAGACCAGTTGTGATATCGATAGTGAGATCGAAAATGATACCGAATGTGACATCGATTGTGAGATTGATAATGCGATCGATATGTTGATCCATTGTGAGATCGATAGTCAGATCGTCTGTGAGACCGACCGAATGACATATATTGAGTGAGATCGATCGGTTGAGATCCATCGAACGAGACCGATAGTGAGAGCGATAGTGGGATCGATCGTGAGACAGGTCGAGAGAGACGTTGGTTCCCCCCCACCCGAACCTCCTTATCACCCGAAGGTTGGTCGTATAGATATAAGCACGTTGTTGCCATCGGCCCCGCGAATCCCCGCGTGCGAGGAGTAGGAGGAGGAAGAGGAGGAGGAGGAGGAGGAGGAGGAGGAGGAGGAGGAGGAGGAGGAGGGAGGGGAGGAGGAGGAGTGGAGGAGGAGGAGGAGCAGGAGGAGGAGGCTGGAGGAGGAGGAAGGAGGAGGAGGAGGAGGAGGAAGGGAGGAGGATAGGAGGAGGAGGAGGAGGAGAGGAGGAGGAGGGAAGAAGGAGGAGGGGGAGGGGGAGGGGAGGAGGAGGAGGGAGGAGGTGGGGGAGGAGGAGCAGGAGGAGGAGGAGGAGGAGGAAGAGGTGGAGGAGGAGGGTCCGTAGCCATTTTGGCTCAAGGGGCCTGCTCCTGAACTTCCCAACCTCTGCTCGAGAGATTGTGGCGTGTGGTTCGGGGCATTTGAGGCTCTTTAGGGGTTCGCGACCCCACGTGTGTGCGTAGTGACCTCGGGGGCGCATGGCGTTCAAGCCGAATGGCTGGCAGTGCGGCTCGTGCGGCTACTACAACTTTGGATTTCGTGCAAAGTGCAGGCAGGCACGTTGTACGGGACCGAACCCGCTCCTTCCCCACAATGTTCTTCCTTGGTCTGTGCAGCGTCCTCGTGGGAGTTGGGCCAACGGCCCACTTCAGGGGGGCACTGGTGGTGCAGGAGGGCAGGGAGGAGACGGAGGAGGTAAGTCGAAAGGCAGTCGATGGCAGGCCCTCACTCCCGAGCAGCAGGCGCACTGACTCGAGATGTCTGGGCCCCAGTTCTTGGCAGCCAGTCAGGCGTTCGACCAATCCTCTAAGGATAAGCTCATCGGGCTCCGCTGGAGGGCTAAGCTGGGGATCGCCAGTCTCGCGCCCGTCAAAGAGCTTCGGTCCGCCCAGCCCGAGGTGGATCGCGAAGCTCAGCTCCTGTTGGACGTTCAAGGGGCCCTGGCCAAGAAAGAAGATAATGCTCGGGAAGCGTTTGAGTTGTTGCACAAACATCGTCTCAACATCAAGATGTTGTTTTTGAGAATGAGGTTGAGGCTGCGTTGGAGGAGGCTCGAGTCGCAGCTGCAGGGCAGGTTGGGTTGGGAGCGCCCGCCGCAGGGAGCGGCAGCCCTGGCAGCGCAGCTCGGCAGGGCGATGGGCGAGATGCCTCTGGGGGCCGTGGGCGCGCTCGAGGGGCCGCTCAAGGCGCTGCTGGCGGCGCCGCGGCCCCCCTAGCCCGACGCGGCGCCCGTCGCCGCCCCCCCCCCGCGGCAAGAGGAACATGAGGAGGAAGAGGAGCAGCTGCCGGAGGTGTCCCAGGTCAGCCTGGGCCAGATATTCTGGGTACGCTTCCTGGCTCTGCAGAGCATATCCATTCTGATATGGATGGGGATGATGCGTACGATTTGGGGGGTGACTCGTGGGCAGATGGTGGAGATCCTCGGCCCGGGGCTAACATCGATGCAGGTGCCAAGCGTGCCATCAGCCCGCGCATCTGGGAAGAGAGATGGGAGAAGCGTGCAGGGGGTGATCCTGGGCGTATCGCTGCTCTTGCGGAGCTCAGGGCCGCAGTCACCAACAAAAACTCAAGGTGGACAGCAGTCGCAGCGAATGCCACTGCGTATTCTTCATTGCAGCCACTCTTGGTTCATGATGAGTTCAAGGAAGCAGTGGCTGTTATGATCCAGGAGACTCATCTGTCAGGCCACCGGCGCACGGAGTCTGAGGCTGAGTTAGGCAAATTTGATTGGTGTGCTCGCTCGCCGCCAGCATCGGATGACGTCGAAGGCAGTCAGGGGTATGGCGGGCTGATCACCATGTGTCCTCGTACCCATGGCATTGCGAAGCTGGAGACTATGCCGCCGGAGATACTGATCCCAGGAAGGGTCGCCATGTTGTGCCACTCAGTTTTCGCTAAGAACAACATCCTCACAGTGAATGTGTACCTCATCCGTGGTGAAGGCATGGGTCATCGCAACTTCCAGATCTCGATAAGTGTGGCGGAACGTCTGCGAGGAGTGAACATAACCGTACATCATCGGGGGATGACTTTAATTTAACTGTACACCAGGCGAGGTACGCGAGTCGGACATTTTGGAGCATTTCGAGGCTGATGCGTTTCATCCTGATGCCGCCGCGTTCTCGAGCGGACGTACGCTGTATTTCTTCGCTGTGTCACATCAGCTCGTTTTTGAGAAGGCCACGGCTCTGGTCGACGTTCAGTTTAGCACCTTCCCCCATGCGCCCGCGCGTCTGCGTGTTTCTTGACGGGCAGTTCGACCGCGTGCGTGTGTCGTGCCAGTGTGTCGTGCCAGTGCCTCGTGCCTTTCCTGCGGAGTGTCCTATTGGTTGCCAGCGATATGAGCGCGAGCAAGGATGGAGACCCCTGAGCACGCGCGTTGGATCTCTTTTCCGCCTTGGCGCTGACGGTTCAACCGTTGGGCGAGCAGGGGGGGGGGGGCGTGGGGGCAGCGGGCAGAGGCGTCATGAACTCACTGTTGCATGGAGCGCGTTCTTCCAGCAGGCCGAGCTTGAGCTGCGCGGTGTATATGGCGTGGGCAACGACGCTCACAAGTTTCAAGGTCGTGATCAGCCTCTGCGTGCCAGGCGGGTGTGTGCGATGGCACCGAAGGTGCCCATGTTCCCCAAGGCGTCGCCTGAAGCTCGGTGGTTGCGCGCTGTGTCTGCCAATCTGGTTTTCGCCGCTCGCTCCGCGCAGCCGCTCGCGCGTCGCTGCGCTGCGGGCCTTAGCACGGAAGCGGGGGAATGCGCCGGCCAGCATTCAGACAGGCGAAGGGCCAGTTGGTGAATGGTGGGCCTTTTTTTCCAGACCTTCGAGCCAGATTCTCGGGGCCGTGGCAGACTGGGGGCACTGGCTCGCATTGCCGAAGAAGTGGCCCTCAAGGTGGCCAAGCAGGATGGAAAGCTACGACAAGCGAAATTTCGTAAATTGGTTGATGGTCAAGCGTATGGGGAGGCTGGTGGAGGGCCCCATGGGGTCGCGAAGATCCCGGCTGGGTTCAGCGACATTCGGCCCCGAGTCCGACAGCAGTAGGTGGATAGGATCCAGGAGGAATGGAGCAGGTGGTGGAGGGTTGGAGAGTGGCATCGCGGCCCCGCTTGGCTTGAGGATCTGGGGGTGCGCCCTGTGCGTCCAAGCGTTGAACACCTCCTCGAAGCGCAAAACACTTTC